CGCATTTGCCTATCGGCCGTGGATTGGCTGGCGGGCGCGGAAGGAAAGTTGTGGCGGAGGGGCCCGCGCGGTCCGGGGCGGCCGCTCGGCCGAGCCGGAAGCATCGGAAAAGGCCAGCGGGGGCCGGGGGCCGGGTCTCTCCGGCGGGCGCGTTCCCGGGAGCAGGAACGCGGCTCGCGCCGTGTCCCGGAGTTGTTTTTTCTCTTCGAGTGAAAAGGAGTGGGCACGGAGCTTAGTAATCCCGAGCTGGAAACTCTGACTCTGCGCCGCGCGGTGCCTCCAGGAAACGCTCGGAGCGGCCCCGGGCTCCGTGCCGGGCGCTGGTCGGAGCTCAGAGCCGGGAGGGGGCAGTTCGGGGTGCTGTGTGTGCCGCGCGGGAGGTCTGTCTCCGCGCCCAAGAAGCGGCCCGAGCGATGCCCATCTCTTCGGGGCGGCCGAGTGTGTGATAACAGGTGTAGCGATCCCCGGGGCTTGCTCGGAGACGCCATTTCCCGGCAGCCGGGCTGCTTGGGATAATGCAGGCAGGCCTGGCTAATCCACGCCCCGTCTATCCAGATGTCTGGTTTATCCAGATGCCTGGTCTGCGAGCGGCTTAAACGGCCCGGCGTCCTCGACGTGCCTCTGCTGCCGGCTGAATAATCCGGGGACATTTTTAATCCCAGTAAAAAGGGAGATCTCCGTGGTTGGGGGCCAGGCCTGATGCGCCAGCCGCTCGTGGGAGGAGGCGGGGGTGCAAGTGACCCTGTGGGTGGGCAGGCAGCAGATTGACCAGTAAAGGTGGGGGCAGGAAGCTGCCCCAGGCTTGCGACCGTCTCGCGGTCCCGGTGAAGTGGGGAAGGGCCTGGGCTGGGGGAGCGCAGTGTGCTGGTGGGTTTGAACAGAAGACGGGGCAGAGGCAGGCGTGGGTGCCCACGCGCGATCCCAGCCTGCCTGCGTAGCGATGCGGTGTGCCCTCCTGACGGCGACCCAGCACCCAAGCCTGCGCTGGGCCCCGCGCGGTGCCGCCAGGCTGGGCTGCAGCTGTGCGCCTCAGACCTGCCTCCGCGCTGCGAAGCCAAGAGCTCGGAGCCAGGGTCTGGCACTTCCTCTCTGCAGCGAGCGTGAAATAGGCCCCGGGTGGTTTCTCTGGGGTGGGAAAGAGACTGCGGTCGGTGCCCGCGGTTGCAGCAGGGCAGCGCTCGGCGGGGAGGGGCGCAAGTGGCCGTGGGAGCCTGCAGGCCGCGTGGGTGAGCTGTGGGCTGGCGGGTTCACGTGAGCGCGGGAGGGTGGGAACCGAGCCAGGGCTTTGGCTGCTAAGCAGAGGCAGGAAACCAGCGCCTTGCCTGCCTCTCGTGGACCGCGCTGCGCGCTCCAGACCTGCCCCTCGCCCTCAAACGGGGCTGGGACTGAGCGCCCGTCCGCTCGGCCTGTCGCGGTCCCTCGCTTCCTGTCTGCCTCCTCCATTCGCCCGCTCCGTCTGTGTCTTCCCCAGCCCGGCAGCTGTCCCCCAGAGCCGTGGGCTGCAAGCGGGGGAACTCACTGCCTCTGCCTGTCCCTTTCAGGATCTAAAAGAGAAGAAGGAAGTCGTGGAAGAGACAGAAAACGGCAGAGATGCGCCCGCCAACGGCAATGCTGTAAGTACCAGCCTGAGGCCCCAGCTTTGTTCCCGAGGACTCGGTGGCTGGTGCTGCCCGCTGATCCCAGAGCCCCAGGACAGAGGGAACATGCTGGTAGCGTCGGTCAGGGAGACCTGCCCACCCGTGAGGCTGGGACGGGGTCTGGTGCCCTGCGTTCACCTTCAAGACTGCCCAGCTCAGGCACGTGGCTCTTCCAAGCCTCGTCAGCAGCCGGGGGCAAGGGGTGGGGATCCCTGGCACACCCCAGGATATGGTCTTTAAGCTGCATCCCTCGAGGCGGGCGGCCCCTGACCTGCCATCCCGCTGAGGCCCATCGCTCACAACCTCCCTGGTGCAGGTTGTCTAGGCCAGGAACTGGCCAGGGTCCTGGCCCTCGGCCCGCCCCAGGGCGAGGCAGGAGGTGGCAGGGCTGGCGATCTCTGGCGCAGCGCGGTTTTAAGTGAGTGCTCTGTCTCGCCAAGGAGAACGAGGAAAACGGGGAGCAGGAAGCTGACAACGAAGTAGACGAGGAGGAGGAAGAAGGCGGCGAGGAGGAGGACGAGGAGGAAGAGGGTGATGGTAACTTCCCTCTCCCCGCTCCTGCCCTCCCTTTGCTGCCCCTGCCTGGGGTGCTTAGCTGCTCCCCTCGCTGGCCCCAGCCTGGCGTTCCCTGCTCTTCTTCCCCCGCCCCGGTCGGCTCCCGCACGTGCCCCAGCAGGGCCGGCCGAGGGCAGACGGCCCGGCTTGTGCCCGGAGACTGCACCAGGGAGGCCGACGCTGCTCTGACCCCGGGCAGCCGGGGCGTTCCTGTCCCCCGGCAGTCGGTGCTGGCTGCTCCGGCCCCCGGGGCAGCTGCGGTGGTCAAGCTAGAGGCCCCCAGCATCTGCCCAGGGTACTTCCCCCTTCGCAGCCACCCCGCGCTTCCCTGGCTGGCTTGCCTGGAGAACACGAGCTATTTTTATCGCCCGCTGAGGCCGGGAGGAGGTGGCCACGCTGTCATTAGCTTGCACTGTCACAGCTGGCTGCAGCTGGGCTAATCGCTGCGCTGCAAGGCCGCGGCACTGACCCACTAACCTGGCAGGGTGGGGGCGGGGGCAGGGGCAGACGGCCGGGAAGGGGCTCCAAAGCCTTCCAGGAATCCCGCGGTTGAACCGAGGCGGTGGTAAGCCCAGGTCTCTTGTCTCTTCTTGGGAAGAGACACCCTAGCTGGTTCCCCCTTGCCCCCAGCCGGTGCAGAGGAGAGGGCTCTGCTGTGGGCAGGGGCTGGCCCCTGGATAGCTTGGTGGGGTGGCAGGGGGGATGCTCGCCCTTGGGACTAGCTGCCTTTTCCGCAGTCCCTTCCCAGGGCTGCCTGCTGCTTTGGGGAGGAGAGGAAGTGACTGCATTGCCTGACTTCCCTGTTTGGAGGCGGGGAGGGGGTGTTGCCTGGATACCCTAGTAACGAGCCTCCTCCATGCCTGGAGAGATGTGTGGATCTTGCAGAGCCCTCCCCGTGGGCAGGCCGGGGCTTGGAGCCCCCTGGCAGGAAGGCAGGGCTAGGACGTGGGTGCCCTAGGCTAGCTCCTGGCTCGTTGCGTGTCCCAAGGTCATCGCCGTGTCAAGGATCGGCTCCGAAGTCGCAGCCCAAACCCAGCGCTTTGCAAAAGGCAGCTAGGGCAGCCAGGGGCTCCCTGCGTGTGGTGCCCAGCAGCCGCCCTGTGTCACAGGATCACCTTGGACATTGTTACTGCCTTGGCTGAAAGCAGCTCGGGCGGCTAAAAACACCCCGATCAGCTTGGTCGCTTCGCCACAGCCCGGGATGCCCTAGTCCTCGGAGACGCAGGCAACGTGGTGTCTGAGCACCCGCTGACAAATGGGGGCTGCGGGTGACCCTAATCCCCAGACGTGTGGCCTGTGATATCGGTGCGGAGCTCGCTTCCTGGCCTCGACGCTTGTGAGCGCTGCCAGGCTGCCCGCCGCACAGCTGGGTAAATCCTGTGCCCCAGTCCCAGCCCTGCAGCCAGGCCACGGGGAAACCGGGCTGCCTTGTTCTGATCCACTGGCCTATTTGAGCCCAAAGTGGGTCAAGTCTGCGACTGCCTCTTCCCCCTCTCGCCTTCCCCCGCCCCCCCGCTGTCCAGCCGCCTGCCCGGCCGCCCTGGAGAACGTGCTCGCCGTTGCGGTAATTAGGAAGTGTTGTGACTCAGAACTAATGCGTCCTGGCTCTCTCAACTCATTAAAGGTGGCCTAATAGCGGCGAAGAGAAGCATAAGTAATGCAGAGCGGTTAGGCAGAGCCGCCGGGAGAGAGCCTTTCCTTTCCAGTGCGAGTGAAGCACGCCTTCCCCCACGGGGGGATCGGCGAACGCAGCCCCTCCCTGCCAGGCTGGGGCGGACCAGCCGGAGGGGTCAGCACAGCTCCAGGCCCCCCATGTTGAGATCCCCCCCTTCCCCCCGGGCTACATAAGGCGGTGGCATCCTGCCAGCCCCCATCTGCGTTAGGAACTCGCTGCTCGGACCCAGCCGGCTGGGGACAGGTTACTTTGGCATCTGACTCGGGGCAAGCCCTGGGTACTCGAAGCTGGAGGGCAGAGGGGGTGGCCCCTGGCTGCTGCGTGCTTTGCTGTGGAGGTGCTGGCTGGCGCTGGCGACACGTGCGAGGCACGGCCCGTGCCCTTGGGCCTGCAGGGAGCCCGAGGAGACGCCTGGAAAGAGTTTGCTTTCAAGGACTGGTTCCCCTTCCAGCTAGGTCTCTGCCTCCCCGCTTCGCAGCCTGCCCTCCCCACGTCCTTGCAGCTCAGCTGCCGCCGAGGTCTCATGTTCCCTCCTCCCTTCCCCCAGGTGAGGAAGAGGACGGTGACGAAGACGACGAAGCCGAGGGGGCCACAGGCAAACGGGCGGCTGAGGACGATGAGGTGAGCGTGGATGGATCCCAGGTGCTTTGCTGGAGCAGAGCTGGCTGGGTCCCCCAGAGGGATCCACCATGGCACGTGGGCCGGGGAGCCTGGCTGGGCTCTTGAAACCCAGCTCCTGCCCCCATCCCAGGCATGGCTCTCGCGTTTGCCTCTGGGGAGCTGCCCTTGGGGACTCAGCCCACTTCCATTTATACCTGTGGCCTGCTTAGGAGCGCCCTCGGCTGCAGCCCGTGCTCCTGCCCCGGGATGGCGCAGCTGGGAGGGGAGTCTTCCTCCGTGCTCTGCTGGCAGCTGGGGAAGGGGCTGGCGCGACCCCGGACGCCCTGGCTGGATTAGGAAGGGAACGAGGGGGGTGACGGATGCTGAACTCCAGCACAATGGTGCTAGGAACCGGCTCTGCCCTCTCCAGCCCTTGGCCTCTCTTCTGGGCAGTGCCAGCGGCATGTCAAAGGGTGCAAGAGATGGGGCCGGCGTGGGGAAGACGGCCGCTTCCTGAGGAGAGCGGCAGCTCACTGGGTACCTCGGGGTGGGGTCTGCGCAGAGCCAGGTGCACAGAAAGGCCACTCAGATAAGGCCCCTTATCTCCGCACGGGAGAGGAAACCGAAAACCCGCCTCTAGGAGCAAAGGCTGAATCCCTTCTTGCTGGGGCTGGCAGGGAGGCAGAGGGAACCACGGTCCTTGGCCACTTCATGCTGCTGTCCCTGCTGTCACCCCCCCCCCCCCCCGGCCCCCCC